ACAGTTATCATCTGACATAATTATCATTCCAGTAAATGGAAGAAGGATAATTCGTTTGTAATGCGACCAAGCAAAAAGGCTGTAAATAAGTTCAAGATGATGACGAATGAGGAGGAAGAAGGAGGAGGAGAAGGAGAAGGAGAAGAATGAAGGAGGAGGATGAGGAAGAGGAAGAGGAACAAGAAGAGAAGGATGAGAAGAAGGAAAAGGAAACACTTTACACTTTAAAATTGCAAGCATCGCATATCATCTTGCAAAGATAAAATGAAAAAGAACCATCCAAGCTCGAAGCTAAGCAACTTTTTGTATATTCTTTTCCTGATCTTTCTTGTGACATTATATCATATCATATCTTATCACATCATATCATTTGAGTTCTGCTCCATTTATTTAACCTTTTAGTTCCATTCCATTCACTTAATCATTTTAATTATCAAAATTTCATGCTATTTAAAGATGAACTGATGAATGACTTTCTTTTTGTATTTTAAGTTTTTCATTTCCTTATATTTCTACTTGAAATTGTTACATTTCATTTGAATTGTAATAAACAATTGAATGAATTAATTATTTCACTTAATGTCATCTCAACTATCTCCCATACCACAGTACCATACCTCACTGATTATCATCAAAAATTTATTTCCGTGGAATTTCTTCAATTCAAATTAATCATTTCATTCATTATTTATGTGTCATGAATGATTACCATAATATTTGGCGTGTTATTTATCAACCAAATGAGACTGATATGATAAGTGGCTGTTAAGCTTGACAATGAGTTATAGTGTGACATGAAACATCAAGATGTGATTGAAATATTTTGCGCCCAAATATGATTCGAATAAGAATAAAGCGGATTTTTGACAAAAAAAAAAAAAAAAAACAATTTCAATCATATCTTTCACGGTCCTTCTTCAATGTCGACAGTTGATTTCATTCCAGAAATTCATTTGGCCAATTTAAAACTTCAGGCTCATTTCCCATTTCGAATAATAGGACATAAATTTCCTCATAATTCATTGATATTTGATGTCTAATTGTTACTAATTAACTTCTAGAATGGTTGATCTAAGTATTAAATTACTCATCCAAAATTACTATAATAATTGAAGTGCAATGTAAACTGAATACCTAAAAGATAAAACATATTGACGTGATAATGTTACGGTCAAACGTGAGTCAAGCGTAACAAGAATTGATATGAACCGTTAAAGCATTTTGTATTTGCTAAATTTTATTGAATTATTAACATGACAGGTAATGAGAAAAGAAAAAACAGGTAAATGAAGAGGGAAAGGTAAAGTTAGTAGTTAATTGATACTTCAGATAGATCGACCAGATCGTTAAAGAGATTGATAGACTGTATTCAAATGTCAACAATGTCACTCATCTAATTTCTTTATGCTCTTTTTTCTTTTCGAAATAATATAGCAGCTATGAGAAATTCTTCCAAGTTAGAATTACTCAAAAAAAAAGAAAAGAAAAAGATTCAAGCCAAGTGTCAAATGTCACATGCTACCACTTTTTCATGTTTTTCTTTTACTTTGATAGCTTGAAATTTGTAACTGGTACAGAAAAATACACATTTAACATATTTGAATTATACTGGAATATAAAATATATATTTGAATTATACTAGAATATAAAATAAGAATATATATCGGAATATGAAATAACCTTTAGTTGTATATTTGCGCTTTCTTTCTCATGAAATCTCTTTGTACAACAAAATGATAACATTTGAATTATTCCATTTCAGATAAATTTAAAAAGAAACAATCATCGAAACGAATGTTTAGCATAATTTAAAGAACAGTTATCAGGAATGCCTTTCAAGCGACCATTGGGAGAACGAATTGTAAATCAAACTTTGCCTAATTTCATACGGGTTTGTTCCTTTACATATTGGTTTTCTTATTACCCTTTTTTTTTTTTCTTTTTTTTTTTATTAGTAGGACAAAGACGCCATTTGTGATGAAAACTCTAAATGAAAAGGATTTTTTGGAAGGTAATCCACTAATTGTAATTCTTCTTTTCTTTTTTTTTTTTGTTTTCACTCGAATAAAAGCTTTTTGCTGCAAAAGGAAAATATATGATGAATAATAAATAGTTTGTGTTAGTTTCAAATTACCATAATTGTATACGTTAAGATTAAAATTTTAAAAATTTTCAATGGGTTAAATTTCTTGAATTTGATAAAAATTTCATTTCATAGCTAATTTATATGATGATAATTAATGATAAAATTGTTTTGTAGCCACTTCAAGATAAGCGTGTAGTCGTTGGCCAAAATGTGCTACTCGAATGTCAAGTGGAAGGTCATCCTGATCCGGTTGTGAAATGGCTTAAAGATGATCATGAAGTTACACAATGTCCTGATTATGAGGTTAATTATATTGAGTTTTTTTTGTTTCTTTTTTTTTTTGCTTTATTGATTTTCAATTTCACATTTTCATTTCTTTTACAATTCTCAGTAATATAATTATTGCTGATTCGATGGAATCTTTTAATTGATTGTTATTATTGAGAATTTAATGAGGTCTTTGTCTCATTTATTCTTTCCTTTTTTTTTAATATTTTATTTTCATTCTTACCTTACATTCCAATCTTTAATTTTCATAATCATCAAATGTATTTGTTTTTTTGATATTGCAAACTTTGATTAGTTTTGATTTCAAATTTTGATTTTTTTTCATTAAGAAAATTTTTGATATTAATTAATTATTAATTAATTAGAAATTCTTCATAATTCACTAAAATATTTTTTATTTTTGAACTGACATCATTTTTAAATGTAACAATTGTATTCCCTTGGTTAGATTATATTTTATTTAAATTCACAAAGAATGTCACATATCACCGTGGCTGATAACAAAAAAAAATTTCCAATTTTAAGATTTCATCATTTGACTGAAAAAGTTTTATTGAAAAAAAAAGATGATAGGAATCGATCGATTTACAAGGATTATTACAAAAGTAAAATAATAATTACAATAGGAATCGATCGATTTACAAGGATTATTACAAAAGTGAAATAATAATTACAATAAAAGAAAGTGTTTGCAAAGAAACAAATTACAATAAGACTAATATAAATTTGCTGACAATCTTTTCTATCGAACGGAACGAAATTTCGGGTCTTTAGTTTACATAATTACTTACTGTATTGCAAAATTTTGACGACAGCTCAATGTGCAGTTGACAAACTGATCATTGAGCTGTCGTCAAAATTTTCGTCCAAACATTAAATGACAATTTTTCAAATAAACTAAACTTTGAAAAAAAACTAAAAATTAATTTAAACAGAAATTAAAAACATTTCAAGTGATTACTATAAATGTCACAAATATTCCAATGCAAAAAAAAAAAAAAAAGAAAAGAAATGAACATTTTTTACGCTTTTTTTTCTTTTGTAAGCTCATTTTTTTGATTGCATGCATTTACTTACTGCATGTTATTGGTTGCAAAAGAAATTGAGAAGGAAGTATTGCAGATTTCAAGCGTTGGTATTAAGCATCATTTAGCAATTAAAAATGTGCAAGCATCCGACAACGGTCGTTTTACAGTTCAAGCAATGAATGCAGCTGGTATCAAGCAGTCAACGTGCATGCTCATTGTCGCGCCTGCACCAACACCAATTCCTGGCGCAAAAAGTGTCGCGTTAGTATCGTTTTATTGTTGTTTAAAATTTTTTTCGATTGAAAAATAAAATTTACAAAATTTTTTCAGTTTCACTCAAAGCTATCATTTTTTAAATAAAAACTTCATTATAGCTATAAAATCATCAAAACTTTAAAAATTATGATTTAATCATTTTTCTGAATGCTTTACATTTCGTTCATTTATGAATTCTAAATTAAGTTCTAATTAATTAAGATTACATGAAATACGATATTGGTTGAAATAAAAGGATGACAATAGTTAGGTAGCGCTGAAATTCCAAGGAAATTAAGAAAAAAATCACGATAGTTATAACTAGGGGATGAATTGTACGGTATCGTATGAACGAATTAGTATCAGGAACTTTTCCTATATTAATGTCCAGTATGAAATTATGTCATCAAAATGAAATGACCAGACGATTCAAATTACTATGAAATTATGTCATCAAAATGAAATGACCAGACGATTCAAATTACTTCAATTTAATTGTTGCAATTCATTAACGTCCTTATTGTAAAAGGCAAAAATGTTTTTATAATTTTAATTTTTTATTTTAGAGTTCATTTTAAACCAATACATTTTCATAGTAAAAATGGTAAAATTCACAGGGATAGTTTAAAATGATTGGATGGAAAGAAAAGATTTTCATTGAGTCATTGCTAATCATGTCATTTGCGCACCTAATTTTTCTTTTTTTAATGAATATAAGAAATCATCAATGTAAGATATGATCTGTTGATCTGGTGAAATGAGATGTTAACAGATATTCAGTTTGATTTTGTCTGTAATTATACGCTGTACTTCATTTCACAGAAGTTCACCAGCACCACCACAAACGCCGATTGGTCCTTCAGCGCCAATATTTTTAAAGGATTTAAAGAATTCTCCACTGAAACCTGGTTCACAGATTATATTAGAAGCACGAGTTGTTGGTCATCCGGAACCAGAAGTGGAATGGTTGAAGAATGGATCATTAATTAATAACTATCGGTTTGTTCCGTTTTATTCTATCATTTAAAATTTAATATTTCAATGAAGTTTCATGTAGGAGTTTTTTTTTCAATCAGTCAAATCGATTGGAAGCTTTATTTGATGTTCCTGATAATATTCAGATTCTATTGGAAGTATAAATTATCAATCTATAGAGAAAAGAACAAGGTCAAAAAATGTCACCACATTAAGTCATCTATTCGCTATCTAATCTAATCTCTCAGTTTCCCTACAATTGCATATTATCTTAGACAATTATATCTTATAAACGGAAAATTCTGTTTCCTATAGTGGAACTTTTTTTCACAATGCAACAAACATCCTTTACTTTCACATTATTGATTTTTATGCAAGACTTCCGGGGGATCCGGGGTTTCTGCAAGTTATCTCTGATAAAATACCCACAATCTCGTCAGTCTTTAATTGAATATTATTTTCTTATGAGAAATCAGAAGTGAGAAAAAACTTTGCCACTATGAATGAAATATGAAACTAATTCCATTTTTACTTGTTTATTACTCTTATGTCAACAACGTGTAACATTACGTGAACTTCTAATCTATCGTTCCACACTGCATGACTTTTATTAGTTTAAATAACCAGATTAAAATGAAAACCAAAATAAAATATTTAAAGTGGTCATCGATTCAAAGGACTGTCATCTTACAAATTGTGTTTGCAAAGCTGTTTAGTCAAGAAAGAATGAAAAATTCAAATGACAGCTATCCAAACTGTTTAAATTGGTACTCGAAAAATATCCCCTCTTTACAAATTTTTTAATTTTTATTTATTTTCTTTAACACTTGTTGAATCGCGTTACTTTTGAAATAGAAATGACAATTCTAGATTACTGTAAGAATGCTCATTTTTAATAGGAATAAAAATTTTGATCATTTATTTTAATTACTAATTCAATTCAAATGATCCTCTTACAGTCAGAAATTTCTTTCTTTTTCGCATTTTCGTTGAATGAATTTATGGCTATTGATGAGTGAAATTAAAAATGAAAGTGATGAAATGAGTGAAATTAAATGGAAAGAATGCCGCACTATCATTTCATTATTTCAAATAAATTTATAAATTCAAATGTTTTTAATGTACTTAATGTCCTTGTCAATCATTTCATGTAAATCTACAAAACGATCTGCTTAAATGATAATCATAAATTGAGCAAACAATTATCAATTTTAAAGTACTTTTTTGTCCCATAAAGAATAAACTTGAAAGAGATTTTTTTCAAATTTTTTAAATTTGCTAAATTGAATACGGTAATAAATTTAAAAAAGAAATTATTCAAAATGAAATTTATCTACAGTGCGAAGACAGAATATGACACTCGGACAGGTATTTGTGCGTTAATTATACCTCAAATGTTTGTTGATGATATTGGCGAGTATACATGTCGAGCGACTAATGCGCATGGAGTTGCCGAATCTTCCGCAAAAGTATACATTTTGTTAATAAATGAAACTTTTTTAATTGTTAATTAGAAGCTATTAGAAAGTAAATTTACAACTTTTCCTTTTTTTTTATTCCCGATTGAAATCCTTATTTTGTTTCATATAAATATTAGTTAGATTGTAACAAGTTTTGAATAGTAATATGAATAGTACCAATAAGAATTACAAAAGGAATGAATTACAATCAAATGAAAGTTAGGCTGGAAATTATTGCTTGGTTAAGTGAAGAACAATTGCGCCTGAATAAAGCTTATCTAAAAATGATTCATTTCATCTTGCAATATCAACAAAAATTGTAATACAAACATTACCAGATATCTCTGTAGAAATTTTCATATTTAAATTTAATTTCATTTCCTTTTGAAGTTAATGCCACGTGATGAATTCGAAAAATGGTTTTATGAGCAACAATCGTTGATTACAACTGAACGGAAACAAGCTATGCTTGCACAATCTCAAAAACAAAGGCCAGGTATGAATTTAGGCTTGATGAAAACTTTTCGTTGTCATGAGGATTATTATGCGACAAATTCATAGATCTGTCATAAAACAAGAAGTGAAAATGAAAAAAAAAAAAAGGAAAGCTATAAGGTGAAAAAGGAAAGAACTTAAATTTATTGAAAATTGATTAATTAATCGTTTCATCATAAGACTTTCGGAAATATCTGAATGAAACCCGCTCATATATTTTACAGAATCCAATCGGTCAGCTTCACGGACAACACTCCAACAACGACAAACTATGGTACAACGTCCAGCAACTGTTGCGCAACGTCAAACAAAACAATATGCTCAAAATAACAGTTTTGATTATGATAGCATTACTGAAATTGTAAGCTGATATTATTAGTTCTTATCAGATAAAGCAAAAGGCAGAAGCAATCTTGCGTTTTATTTTGAACGTTGTGATGCTAGGAAAAACTTTCCGATAGTTTATCTGGGATGAAACGGAATGATAGAATATTCAGTTATTCGATCTGATTTATAATTCGTTCATAATATTGGACTTTCCAATCAGTCTTAATGTTACCAAAATGATCGGAAGGCATGTGACATCATCATCCATTTGCAGAAGCTATTTGGGAGTGAATTTTGGTCAGGTAACTTTGACTTTTCCTTGGCAATTATTTTTTTTAACTTATTGTAATTTCCTCTTCTAGCCTTGGGGTCTAAGTGAAAGTGAAACAGAAGCGGAACTTGCATCCATAGATTCACGTGGTCTTGGTGGACCACCTCGAATGCAAACCCCGCTAAAAGGATTACGATTAACGGAAGGCACTGATGCTCTCCTGCAATGCAATATTACAGGAAATCCTAAGCCTAAGGTAGCATTTACAATTAGAATAACTTATTTTAAATTATCTGACAACTATAAAATATAAGCTAATTTTTATTAAAGTTTCCTTTTACTTGGATGCTTTTTACGAAATAAAAATTTGAATTAGTTTTGGCAAAATTTTCAAATAATTAATTAATCATTATGCTATAATTGTTCCAATTAGATTCATATGATCTCAGTGAATTATCTCCAATGTAAACTTACATTAAATGATATTTCCTGCAGATAATATGGTTAAAGAATGGAAAAATTGTTGATTTAATAAATTCAAAAGGAATTACAACAATATTCAAAGGATCTCTAGCACTTATGAAGATTTCATCGGTAGTTCCTAAAGATAGTGGTGAATATACGCTTATCGCAGAAAATTACTATGGAAAGGTTAACCTGTTCAATTTTTCTAAAACATCTAATTAAATGATAAAAAGAAGTAGAATTTATGATGTAATCAGAGATATTTACTTCAATTTTAATAGTTATAAAAATTCATTTCAAATTTCTGTTCAAGTTAATTGAAAATTTTTTTGTCAACATACATCAATTTATGATAGATATGAAAATTCTGTAATAAATGTAACATACTCATTAAATTATTGAACCTCTCTCCCTAGCAGAAATATTCATTACCTAATGGTTGAGCAGAAAATAAGCCTTATCATATCTGAATTTATTTGGAATATTTGATCATACTTACTAAAAAATATCATTAAAGTCATTAATTTAGCCTTATTTTTTTAATCTTTGAAATAATATTAGCTCTAAGAGATATAGTCTCTCGTTTCGCTTATATTTTGTATAAATTGAAATATAAAATCTTTTCTTTTTCCTTTTTTTTTTTTTTTTGCTTTTATGACTCATAGAGAGGACAAATTTCTGAGTTAAAAATCCAACTGAAATTTTAAATGACTTTTTCAAATTTATTTTATTCACGAAAAAAAAGAAAAAAACAAAAAGAAAGCTCTTAATTTTCTTGAAAATTTTTTTTTCAAATTTTCTTTGCAAAATTCAAAGCTATTGATTAGAAAGATGGAAAAAGAACTCTTTTATGATTTCGACTAATGAATTGTTGAACGTTTTAACTTTCACAATCCAAAAAGCTTTACTAAAATGCTGCAATATATCATTATTGAAAATGTGAAATTTACGAAATTTTTTTTAATTCAACATTTAAACTAATTTATAATTTGTGCTCTAATGGGAAATGACGCAAAATAATTATATAAACTCTCATTAAAGGATAGTTATTGTTATCAATAAAATTATGCTATGAATCATCCCTCATTAATTAACATTTTCCTAATTATGGAAAACAGAATGAAAAAAAATGATGGGAGAAAATGTGATGACAAACCATTTTACTAACAAATATTTCGTTTTATGTTTGCAAATTTTTGCGCAGAAAGTTCAATTTCCGCCTCGGAATTTAATTTTTTTTTTTTTTCAAAAAATTTCACATTTTATTTGGTAAGAAATTTAATATTGTTGGTAAATTAAAGTTTATTTGTTTAATTCTATTTCTTCGGTGTTCCTTCTTTTTTCATTTTTTCTTTGTACCAATTGCTTCTATTTACTTTTGAGAGGGAGAGAGGGAGGGAGAGAGAAAGAGGAAGAGAGGGAGAGAGAGAGAGAGAAAAACATTTTGAAGAATGTTTGTTTGGACACTCTTTAAACAAATTTTTCCGATAAGAAGAAAAAATTGAGAGAGCAAAAAAAAGAAGAAAAAAAAAATACGTCGCATAAATTGTATCTTATAAGCATTCTTCTCGAGTGACATTTATTTTATGTCATTTAAATTTTTAGTGAAAACAATTTTTTAATTCAAAAATTTCTTAGATTTAAATTCTTAAATTTTTGGAAAGATTTTTAAAAAAAAAGCGATATATGAAAGATTAACGATAATTAAGGATAACAAAAATCTTCTAAAAATTATTACCCTAATTAGATTAGCATTTAATGAGCTCTGTTTAATGAGTCTATTCCATTGTGTAATATTTTGATTCTATCCTTTAGCTATACGGTTTATTATGAACATTTCTGTGGAAAATACTTTGAGTAAAAGGTGTGAAAATATTGAATTCTCGAGATAATTCAACAGATAACTTCACTACTGAAACTTCAAATTTCCGCAAGGCGTAAATATCACAAAAATTGTTGAAAAAGCGAATTTCATCGATTAATTTTGTGGGATAATTCATCTTGAAAGGCGGAAATTGCGAATTACTGATAGAATGATAAATAGTTCTTTACTGCTTAGCAACCCGATCGGATGATGTGGTAAAAGTCTGAGATCCAGGAAATGAGTGAGTTAAGGTGCTAAAGATGGATGAGTAGGTGGATATGCCACCTCAAGCTAACTAACTTCTGTTTGATGTCATCCTGTTTATCCGCTCTCCCTAAACACCTGTTTAACTTCCAGTGGTGATACTATTTGCTAAGTGTTCAACACTCATTTCCTTCGTATTGCTTTCTTTTTGGATTAGTAAACAAAAAAAAAAAAAGTTGGAGCAAAAGCTTTCTTAATTAATGATATTTCGTACTGATTGTGATAATGATAATGATAACGATAACAAGAGAGATGTTTTGAGATAGATGGAGCAAAAGAAAGCATTAAAGAGGTGAAGGTTGTTGCACTCTTGAAGGTTAAATGTAATGAAAGATTGCAGAGCACAAATAGAAATTATCACTTTCTTGAAAATAGTTAATGATAAAGAGGGAGAGGGGAAGAAAAAAAGAACTTAACAAATGAATTTATCTTTTGGAAGATTAAGAAGCAAAAGAATAGGAAGAAAGAAGAGAAAAAGGAATGAAAAGAAAAGCTGAGAAACAAAGAATATAATTTTTAAATTTTTTCGAAATATTCTTTGTCTATTTTTACATATCAAAGTGCTACAAGCACCATACCACTGCTTGGTATGCTTTCACATAGAAGTCTCGGGTCTTACGAGGTGAATAAATACTGGAAGGTGGAAGAAGCATCATCATACACCTCTCATATATTATTGACCACCTGTCGTTGAATTGTTTATAATTGCATTTCCCGCCTACGAACAATCTTTTTCATTTAAACTTTTCCGGACTAATCTAAATGAAATTTATACCTTTATTCACTTGGCTATACAAATTTCGTCCAAGTATTAATACAGCTTTTTAAGCCATTTAATAGGTGGTTGATTTCCATCTTCTTCAAATCTTCCATTTTTATTAAACAATTTGATAATACTTTATTGGAAATGAATTCATGTGTTGATTTTTTTTTTTCTTCTTACCATAATCTCTTAATCATTCGATGTTGCTTATTGCAAAAGGTCAATCTTTCTTAATTGCATACATCTTCCTATTGACCTTTTATGTTATACTACCTGAATTTTATTTTTTTCAGAACTATCCTCATAAAATGAAATGTATGGCGCAATAATACCTAACATTTTTGGACAGGCCTTAATGAATATTAAAATTTCATTATTAAATTGAAATTCTAGAAGTTAATAGAATCATTTAAAATTCGTCATTCTGTCCTCTGTAAGCAGACATCCAATTGCGCTAACTGTGCTAATATTCATAATTGATTAATTCTTGAATTATTCATTATCTTAATTTTTCCATAACTGTAATATAATATTAAGCCTGATAAATTCAATAATTGAGTCTAATATGGGCAGATAATTGAGGTTGAAATGATTTCTTATCTTGTTTATCTCAACTATACCAGTACTTTGAGATAGAAAGAATTGCTAGAGTGGAAATGATGATAATATAATATAGTGGGAGAATGTATTTATGTCTTCGTGACTTGTCACATTTTTGTATAATTATTTGGGTGACATGAATTGTACGTTGACAGACTCCAATGTTGAGTTTGTCCATCTAGAAAAGCTCCATTGATTAAGATAATTAGTTCTGTGTATATTGTTAATAGAAGGTCCCTCCCATCTTTCAGATTAATTTCTCTTTCACTTTCATCTCTTAATATAATGTCAATTTTTGATGACACTTTCTATATTTATACCTTCAGATATTAAATTAGCATTAATTGAAAATCTAATTACGACAATCATTTTCATTAAATTATTGTTTCAAACTTTGTAATAATATTATTAAATTTGTTATTGTATTAAATTTCATTATACTAATAAGTTACCTGATACCAATGAACTTTAAGGTTGAGAGTAAAGCACTTGTCGAAGTATATCCATTGCATATACCGGATGAGCAGCGATCACAACGATCTCAACAGTTTCAAAAATTTTACCCGGTAGATAATAATTACGAACGATCTGATTATTTACAACAGCAGCGACAACAGCAGGTTACATTTCTACTTTAATAAAAATTTTTTTTTATCAGAAAATTGCAAACTAATTTATTCTTTCAAAACTAAACTTGCCATCATCTGTTCATGAAAATTCAAAATTTCATTCATTTATCAAATCTTCATGTTTTATTGTATAAGTTTGAATTGATGCTAAAATATGGGGGGATTTTACGTTTGACATTTTGGTATAATTAATGCCAATATTGTCTCAATTAATTAAGCTGTATTCATTTGCTGGGAATGATTAGGTCTTAAATGGTATTTGGGGCGGAAATTAAATCAATTTTTGACATATTTGATTTGTGTATAAAATTTTTTTCGCAATAGTCTCTTACAAATACCAAAATGTTTCCATATCTTATCAAATGAAAGCCAAAATTAGCTAGAAAAATGGAAGCGATTACTTCAAGAATTAGTAAGAATTTATTTTTTATTTTTTCTTTTTGCTGAACAATTCATCATTTCAACGTTCTGTTCAAATGGAAAGTATTCAAAATGCTTCTGTCAAATGTTTGAGAAACTTCTTTCAAATCTTTTGTTTACCGTAAGAAGACTAAGAGCTCCCGAATTTCCAATTGAATATTTACTGATCATTGTAACAGTGAAAAGAGGAAAAGGAATTATCTTGCAAAGCTTTCTAACTTTCTTCTTAATTTTGTTTAATTATGATGAAGTAATTCAATTAATTTATTTGAAATATGAAGGAAATAATGTGATAAATATAACGAAATTTATTGCAAAGTGAAGATGCATTTTAGGCTTTTATCATATTTGTTTCAAATTTGCTAAAAAAAAAAAACTAAACAAAAATACATTTATGCACAAAGCTATTTTATTGCAACTAAAAGAATTGTTGATGAAGTAATAAAGCTATGATAAAATAAATATTGTAATTAGCAAGCGCTAAATCAATCATTGTGTGAATTAAACTTCCATTATTGTTATTTAAACTGATATCCATTTTTGAATGTTTTAGTTTTAAAAAACTTTTGGTTTAAAATTAAAACTTTCAAAAAAACTTTTAGTTTCAATATCCTAATTTTAATTTCTAGGTTAGTATTGATCAAATTAAATTGAATCGGATCAGATCCTAAAAGCTTCAAATAGTTTTTAAATAAAATTGTGAGCAAAAACAAAAAAAAACGGTTGAATTTTATAAAAATTGAAAAAATATTTGGTAAAATTAACTTAGTATATGTTAAAATGTACGATGCAAATTGGTGAATTGTAATTCAACGTAACTTTTTTCTTTTTTTTAAACCTAAGATTAGCTTGTTACTAAGCAATATGGTATTATATTTACTTTACAACAGCCAGTAACTGAACCAAAGTAGTTATTTCAATTTTTGTTATTTCCGGATGATTCATTCTTCGAAACTTTTTACGCAAAAAAATTCTATTGAAAGTGAATGGAATATTTTGAAATTATTTTTAATTAATTTGATTTCTCTCAAGTATCATAATCAGATTCTTATGATCAACAAGCAAAAAAAAAAAGAAAAATTGTGAGAAAGTTTGCAAAAATAATCAAATTAAATTGAATAAAGCATTTTCTAATTTAATTCTTATCATTTAACAATAAAATTGTCTGTTTCAAGTGGTAAAAAACGAGTAAACATAAATATTCAAAAATTTTTATGCAAAAATAGTTTTTGCTAGATTTTAATTGAGTTTTTAAATTTTAAATTTACGAATTTATTGTTGTAGTTAGTTATCGTAATCACTTGTCATTTATCTACCGTAATGTCATGATTAGTCAGTTAATATGCAAAATGAATGATGGAAAAGAGAAGTTGAAGAAAGCAACAGAAGGTGGAATTGAAGAGTTATTTCCCCAAAAAAAGCTCAGATTGTTATTGATATACAAAATGTGAAATTTAAAAAATGTGAAAATAGAAGGAAGTACTTAAGAATGAAGCAAATGTGTTAGCAAAAAAAAAAAAAAACAGAAAAAAACTTATTTATATGAATTGTTTCACAAAGATTTCTCGTATTTTTACTTCGCTTTTCACTTTTTTTTTTTTTCAAATATATCCGTTGAACTTTTTTGCAGTGGCAAGAACAACAACAGCACAAACCAATCAGGCATTTACCGGAACAACCACATTACGCTCAACCGTCAATTCATCATCAACAGGTTGAACCATTTTCAATTTCTTCCGAAAAATATTTTGCACAAGATAAGGTTTGTCAAAAGTTAATCCTGCATTAGAGGTTTATCGAGTATCTGTATTGCTGGATTACTTTGAATTTGCTATTTGCATTCAGTGATATTTTCTTGACTTGTATGAAACCTGACTGATAAGCAATCTGATTTGATCCAATTAGCAGGAATACTGGCAAACTTGATTTAGAAGGTTCTGCTGTGAAGGATTTATTCTAAAATTCTAATAAATTTTTAGTTTGAAATTTTTCGTTTTGCTAATTAGGATTTTAATCAATTTTAATTTAATGAATTAACTGAAAAGAGGTATTGTTTGATTACTTGTTAATATGAATTATTAAATTGAAGGAAGTTTTTAACATTTTCTGATATTATTTAATGTTAATTATTCCAATAATATATCATGATCTTTATTATCTTTTTTGTTAGCTTTTCACTAATTTTTATGCTTGAAGCATTAAAATTTTTGTGCAACGAAATATGACTTTAAAATTGCAACAAATTTTTCGTTTTTTCTCTTCAGATTTATAAGCAACCACAAGTACAACACGCTCAGTACTACAGACAGGTCTGATTTCATTTTCAAATTTAAATTCTCGATTCAAATTATTGGATATAATTATCATCCGTTCAAAGATACTATTTTTTAAAAGAGTGATTTGATAAATAATGGAAGTTTTGTTTATATTTTATTATATCCAGTGCATCAATTTATCTTGTCCGATAACATCATCGTTCTTTTTTAAGCCTGAATACGAACGGCAATATCTACAATCCGTCTATCAACCTTATCAGGTTTATCAATTCCTTACATCTTTTATCAGTTTTAATTTCTTTCTTATCATAAATTTCATAAAATTCCTATTTCAATTTAAATTATGGTTATGGATTTTTTTTTTATTCATCCATTTCTAAAGTTTGTCTATAAGGAATTCTTTTTTAAACACTTTTTGGACATTTTTTTCAGCAACAATTCTACGCGCAACCATTTCAAGCACCACCATTACAACCGGAGCAAGAGTACCGTAATAAAGTAAGCTTGGTTATATAGTTAGTACTATCAAAGTAAGCTTAAAACATAATATCATGTTTAAGAGTCATTTCACTTGCCAGAGCTCAACCTATTTGACAAGCAATACAGGTGAAAGCTAAAGATAAACTTACTTTTTTGAATTTGATGATCGTTCGGTTCATTTCAAATTAATCTCATCTCAATTAATTAAAGTGCAAAAAACTGAATTTATTAATTTCAATGTGTTTTGAAGTTTTTTTGGATCGTAACTGAAGTGGGAAATTAAAACATTTTCTTCCGGAAATTTTAATAATGGAAATATTGTCCAGAAAGATATGAGGAAATTTTAATGGAAAAATAGAAAAAGAATGAGAAACCTTTTTCATAAACGGTTATGACCATTTCTGGATTACGGATGCAAAGAATATCAGATATTACATGAATCGCTGAAAATTTCATTACGATGGCTGAGACATTTGAGACCGGCCATATGCTCGTATATCAAGTAATCCTAATCTGAGAGTACGAATGAAGGTGTCGTTAAACGTGAATGAAACGTGAGAACGTGTAATTTAGTGATCAAAAGATAAAAGTAAAGTAAACGTAGAATACACTTGTCTAGATGACAAACATCATTGAACAATCTTGATAGAATGCGCCAATAACAACAGACTTTTTCATTTCCTCATAGCATAATTTCAGCATTCATAGCTTGATTGTTTACTTTCCTTTGCTGACTTTTGAATTTTGTATTCTTCTCTATAGAAATGAACTGAAAATAGTGGTAAATTAGGCGTATCAATTACAGTTTGAAGAGCATCGACCTCTCTTACCACGTCCTACTTATCAGCTTCCTTCACCAGCACAGTTGAATTCGCAGTTGCAGTACCAACAGCAATACGAGCAACATCATCCCTATCATACACGTTTCGATTATATTGAGCAGAACCGACACTATCAAAACATGCCTCTCGTTGAACGGATTGCACCTCAGGTAGGCACTGTTCATTTATTAACTGGTACAAAATGATATTGGATAGCGTTAGAATGCAACGAAGTGATTGTCACCGGTAATTTGCATATGTTTTAAATATACTTATTATCTTTCAATTCTAAGTATTTGCCACACTTAGATCAGTATGCCACTGCACTGCACTACTTTCGAAATATCTGATTTGTTTTTTTGTTCGCATTTAGAATTCACATGTCTACAGATTATCTGACTCTAAATATTTGATTTTAAATACTTAATTGAAAATTGAATTGAGGGGCAGATACGAATAGAGAGGCTTATTTGCTTTTTTTACTTGATTTAAAAGAATAAATGAAATTCGAAAATTAAAAATTTTAAATGATTTTTGGATTTCGATTCCATCATTTTTTCTCTTTTCCATCTCATTTCAAATTTGACTTTCTCTTTCACATTTGTTGGTTGTGAATGACTTTTGATCACTTTGTTCCATAAAAGGGTTTGTTATTTCATTCACTTCCGTTAAAAAAAAAAGTGTTATAGCGAAAGTTTATTGGCGGCCAAGATTATGCTACTCAAAATGGACAAGCAAGGCATATTGGTCAAGGCGAAAAACCACCACAGTTTAGTAGCATTCCATCTTCAGCAACAGTAAAAGCTGGCGAATCGGTCACATTTGCAGCCAAAGTAAGTCTTGCATGTAAAGAAAATGAAAAATAATGGAAAGTTGAGGAAGGTGATTGCCATCGAATCTATACTTGCAAGTTTTTAGTATGGAATTTGTGTTGTTTAAAAGGATTTGTCTTAAATAGTCCTTTGTATCAGATTTTCAACTGTCTGATTTTCCACTTAGATTTGTCAGGCAATTCTTCAAATTAATCGCTGCTTTTTTGGAAACTGTAAAGACTTCCTTCAGCACCTTTTTTTTTTAAAGTTCATTCGCTCATATTTCCAGACGACAGGTCAGCCAATACCAAATCTTAATTGGTATCGCTCCGATGGCAGTCACATTACAACCGGTGGGCGCTATGTGGTTGAGATCTTAAATGATGGTTCCACAAAGTTGATCATCAACAAATGTACAGCTGAGGATAATGATACTTACTTGTGCATTGCGGAAAATGAAGGTGGCGCTGTGCAGATACGTTGCTCACTTAATGTTCTTGGTATGTTAAAATAATGCTAGTGTACATTGATTGCTTTGAGAATACTACTTACACACGAGATTTTTGGCGTTCGCTGTTGTCACTTGTCATTTGATTTTATGAGTTTATTGTTTAATGGATTTTTTTGTGACCTTATAATATCCAACAAACTTTCCATGTTTCAGAACAGAAATCGAGTGGTGCGCCTCAGTTCGTTGGTAAATTCCAGTCTGTAACGATTTATGAAGGGGATTCGTTAGCGCTTTACTGTAAAGCAATTGGTGCGAAACTTCAAATGAGTTGGTCTAAAGATGGTACACCACTGAAAAGTGGTGGTTCGTTTAAGTAAGCACTTGTTTTGTTTTTAAATAGGCGCTTGTTTTATACTGAAACCAATTTTGTTGCTTTATATCTGTCACTTCCAGTTCATTAGTTAAAAGAGAAATACGCGTTGTTACCAATCGATGATGCGGAACGGCGACCTCCTGGCTCGCTCTTCTACAATATACCATTAGTTGCTTATTTTAATTTTTCAGTTGTATTGCTCCTGAAATTTTCAATCCTCTCATTCTAAAACTATCCAGCAAATTTTCGAACGTAATTATTAATTCATTCACATTATTTCACAATTTTAGAATAGACGATAAAGGGAACGGCGAGACAACTCTACAGATTATTAGCGCTAAAATGGCTGATGGTGGCTGGTATCAATGTGATGCCACAAATGAATCTGGAATATCCTCGTTGAAAGTGATTTTTTAACTCTCACCATCTTCAAGTAGATCAAACAGTGTCAAGTTATGCGACTCAGATTTTATGATTTAAAAATTCATAACTGTTGAAAATTCATTTCTCAGGTTTTTCGACTACTACTTTTCTGTATGACATATCTGTAACTAAATTTGAGTGGAATTTGGATTTTTTCAGGGACGCGTAGTTGTTCAAACTCGCCAAAAATTGGACGCAGCAAATCGGGACCAAATTCCATTGAGAAAAGTTGACCGCCGTATGGCTAGGTATATCCAAAGTTGGTTGAATAAAAGGTCTAGAAACTGAATCAGTTTATGTTATGGTTGTCAGGTAGTTGAAGTGACGAATTATTCCGAGTGAAAATGTTTGCTTCAAATTCAAAATTCAGGAGATTTCAGGTATGGTGGTAAAATGGAAGTAGATCATGACGAACTACGCGAAGCTTCCAAACAACCGCCAAAATTTTTGGATACGATTAAGAATTTGAGTTTAATTGAGGGCCAGACTGCTCTGCTTAACTGTAAGTATTCACCACCAGATGATGCGAACTTGAAAATAGCTTGGCTGCTAAACGGGAAGGTAGTTTTTTCAATTTTTTCTCCTCTATTATGTTTAAATCTAAGTGAAATTTTTGATTTACAAAGAAGACTTTATGTTCCTATTTAGCAGTTGCAACAACTCTCTATCGTAGTTAAGCTTGCTACATCCAAATGGAGTTTTAAAAAATTTCTAAATTTGAGGCAGTGATAACAAGTTCACGTCTCTCGACAGTGGCAGAAAACGGCTATGCTGCTTTGGAAATCAATCCGGTCAAAATGCTCGATAAAGGTGAATATACTGTAGTGGCTGTAAACACACTCGGTGAAGCGCGACAATCTGCAACTGTTAATGTTATAGGTCAGCCGGTTTGGGTTTCATTTTGTAAATTTGCTTTAATTTATTTTTGATTCGGTTCCTTGGTCATCAAACCGCATTTTATGGAAAGACTTGTTTTCCAATATTGATGAAAAGAAAGATTTGTTTACTGGAACAGCTTACGCAAGCTTTCGGAAGAAATTAAAATTTTATGTTTCCCATGAATTTTTCAGGACATCGTAGTGTTTTGGCAGATACCTCCAATGTTACGCTTTATGATCGATCTCAAGCTAGCAAGACAGCTACAAGAATTGCCGAAATGCCGAATTTTCATGCAGAGTTACGATCAATGGAAGTTTTTGATGGCCAACATGTCCATCTGGAAGCGAAATTTTCACCAGCTGACGATGCGAATGTTAAAATTGTATGGCTTTTCAATGGGAAACCGTTGAAGCAAAGTAAGTTGCAGTAACTTATAATGTTTCATCGAATATTTACTGCATTTAATTATAATGGAAAATTTAACTTTCTTAATGTAAGTACACAGCCCAACTTTTGGGCGGATATTCATTGTATTAAATCATAATAAATCACAAGGGATTAATTTAGCTTTGAAAAGATTTGATTTTAGGCGATAATGTACGAATGTCTAATGGTTTTGGTTTAGTCACACTAGATATTTTGAGCATTACACCAGCAGAAGCTGGCAGTTATACATGTCAACTGGCAAATGAAGTGGGTGTTATGGAATCAACAGCTACCGTACTTGTTCAGCGTGAGATTTTTCAGATTTTTATCAAATCCTTGGATAAAATCAAAGTTAAATCGAATGAGCCTTAGGCCCAAAAGTTAATTATGATTGAACTCGTAATGTATGGAACTACTGGTGAGGTGCATGGTCCCTCGCTTCTTTAAAAATTGAAAAGTTTAATCATGATAGCGAAAGATAGATGATTTATATCAGCTTAACTTGATATTTGCATTAATTTGAGACAACTTTTAATTTTTTTTAATCTGAGTTATAAACTTCACCTTGTGATATTTACAGCTCGTATAAAAGATTTTGAACAGAGAAATATAGTGGATGTGGAAGATGCGCGTGAATTTCGACATGAATTTGATACTTCAGCTCATGCACCTGTCTTCCTTACAAATGTTTGATTTAGTTTGTGATTTCGAAGATTTCTTTCATACTGAAATAGATAACAATGAAAGAACTCAAAAGAATATTGTATCATGCATGCTTTTTAATAATTACAATTCCACATTATCGGATTTCATAACTAAATCTTCAGCTCTCAAACTGTCATTGCAATCAAGAACTTGGGAGCTCATACTTTGAAGCACGCATTGCACCTGTAAATGATCCTACATTGCAAGTAATTTGGCTGAAAGACGGACATGCTCTGCCGAACGCTAACAGAATCCAAGTATGCTTAGTTCAGTAGTAAAAAATTTCCGGTTATTTTATGATATGAATCAACTTTATATGTAGAGCAGATTTGTTGCGCACATAGGGATATTTCCAGACATTCAACAATTTTGGCTGCGTATCTTTAACATTGAATCCAACATATCCGGAAGATGAAGGCACTTATACCTGTGTCCTGAAAAATTTGCGTGGTCAAGCTCAAAGTGCAGCGCAGCTCACTACAGTGCACACCACCGGTTTACAGCTTGAATCTAAGCATGAGCAGTCGCTAGCGCAGATCGGATATCTTGAGGGACAGCAGGTATGTCACCTTGGCAAAAGTTGTTTGGTATATATTTTTAAGTTAAAAATAAGGTTCCACGTCTTTAAAAACTCAGTTTTTAACTCAGCGCATTTCTTCTTTTTTTTTAAATTTCTTTAAGCACTTTTAATTTGTAATAGTTTCATCTCTTGAATACTTACTCTTTCACGAAACTTTATATCGCTATAAATCTTTATTAATTCAAATTGCTTTCATTTTTGGATAATGTTTAGGTTCATATTGGGCCACCGTCCGTGGAAAGACCAGAAGAATTTAATAGTATGGAACAGCCGCGTTTTGCACGTCAATTGCAAAGTCGCATCGAAGTAAATGAGAATGAACCAGTGCATTTCGAAGCACGAATCCAACCTGCAAGTGATGTGAAAATGGTCGTTGAATGGTAATTCTATGCTATTAATTGAATTGAATTTTCGTTTAAATTTCCACTGCCATTACATCCAGTTGTTCGTAAGCAAGTTTAATAGCGCACATCTTCTTTTCACCTTGCGCAACGAACTACACCTTTGATGAATTTGTGCTGATTTCAAAATAATTCTGGTATTTTTTCTGATCATGGAGTCAGAAAGAACATAATTATTTTGAATATTTGTTTTTGAATATAATTATTTCAACATTTTGAAATTAGAAATCGAAATTTGATGAAAATTCAGTATATATTTGTGCTAATTTAGGACTCCGCATAAAGCTTTGCGAAATTATAATAGGATTTCTGCGTTGTTTGCATCAGTTGTCTCTTTGATTGACAAGTATTCCATATAGAGTTATTGAGGAATTTGTATCGCATTTATCTTCACTTGACGATAGGTTGCAAATGCAGTTTTACCGTATCCTTTTATATTTTATTTTCAGAATTCCATTGTTCCGGTGAGATTTTTGGTTAAAATTTTTGTGAGCAACAAAAAAATTAAACATTTTCAGGTATCACAATGGTGCACCTTTACCAGCTGCACACAGACTAAGACCAATGTTTGATTTCGGTTATGTTGCTCTGGATATTCTCTATGCATTTCCTGAAGATTCTGGAATCTACACATTGATTGCAAGAAACGAACTAGGTGAAGTGCAATCAAACCTCGAACTGATCGTCAACTCGGAAAAGTCTCTTTACCTTGATGCCCATCATCCAGAAGGTAATTAGAAATCTAAGTGGTTTTTGTGAAAGGAATTGTTTTAAATTATGTATAAGTCTCGACTTTTCTCCTAAATTAAAACTAATTTATGGCTAATTCTTAACTTATTTTGCAGGGCTGGATCGGATTCAAGAGTTGGAACAAAGTCGCATTCGTCCATTAGAACATCCAGCTGACCGCGAATGTGATCATGAGCCACGATTTATCGGAGATTTCCATGATTTGGAGTTGAATGAAAATGAAAACATTCACTTTGCTTTGAAGGTCCGTGAATTTTCCTACTTGCCAAAGTTTGAATCCCTTCAGATTTTAAATCTGAAAGTAACAATTCCATTTAAGTTGGAACCAATGAATGATCCCACGATGAAAGTAGAATGGTACGTTGATGGACGTCCACTTTTGGCTAGTTCTCGTGTCCGAACTCAATATGAATTCGGTTTCTTGACGGCTGACATTTGCGGCGCTATTCCGGAAGATTCTGGGATTTATACCGTAAGAGCAACAAATGCGTTAGGTGAAGGGGCAAGGGAATGCAGAATAACTGTAAAACGTTAGTTTCATAATTTTTACTGAATAAAAAGTGGGAGACAAATAATATGATACTTGCGGACTAGAAAAATTAAATTAATCAGAAGTGAATTTTTTTTTCAGCGCATGCAACCATACTTTCTGAGACACGGCATCAAGAAAGTTTGGGCAAAATTCATCAAATAGAAAATTTGAATAAGTATGGTCGACAGGAAGTGGAGGATGAAGGCCCACAGGTGAGACATATTTCAATTATCAGAGCAATCGTTCACGGTGTGGTTTCAAAAAAAATCATCCTTTAATAACAGTTTTAAATAGCCATGAATATGTCTGTAGAAACTAATTTCGAAACGAAAAATTATGCCCATTACTGTAAGGAATCCAAGATTTTGAATGACCTCATTTTCTAAATACAACAAAAATTTAAGTAAATTTATACTTTCTTTGCACCAATGTATTCGATCGAGATTTAATGAATCAGTATAAGTTGAGTTCCCATGTAAAAGTCTTTCGGGTTTCTTTTTTTTCGAAATTGTATGAAGTAGTATTGTTCGATAGTGCCTTAAAATATCTACGTGATCCTGTACTAATAACTGAAAATTTGCCATACAGGGACCGCCATGTTTCACAAAACCATTACCTGGAGATATTGGTGAAGTGGAAGAAGGAAAACCGCTTCATCTAGAATGTCAAATAACTCCTGTAAATGATAACACATTGCACATTAGTTGGCTAAAAGATGGAAAGCCAATTCCAACGGGTTAATATGTTTTATTTGCTTTCAACACAATCTCTTACTATTAGCAATGGAACTCTTCATATTTTCTTATTACGAATGACTACATAATGAATTCTTGTATAGGACATAGATTCCGTACCTTCCATGATTTTGGTTTCGTTTCTTTGGATATTTTGGATGTCTATGCTGAAGATTCGGGAACATACACATGCGTTGCTAAAAATGCGCTTGGACAAGCAGACTCATCTATTAGTTTCACGTGCAAGGGTATCTTTTTACTTCTGTTTTCGTCTTTTTTTTTTCTATTCATGCACAGATGTCGTTTCCAAGCAAATTAATTACCACGACTTTAGACAAAGAGCGGATTCTTGGCCAGACACAACATCCAAGCAGTGTTGCTAAAATTCAGGAAATTGAAGCACCAAAGCCAGCTCCAGAAGAAATTCCGGACGCAATAAAGGAAGTTAGTGTTAGTACAGCCATTTTCAACTTGTTATTCAGTGGAAAATATATTAAAGGCTTATATATACCTAGAACTTGTGCCGTAAATCATTTAGTGGCAACTACATCATCTTAAGCTGGTGTGCGTTAAGGGCATGAATTTTAGTGGCAAAAATGTGTGATGTACACCATTAATTCAGATCCAAGCCTATAATTAAATGGTGTTTGCAGCCAAAACATGGCTTTTAGCTTTCCTGGTTGTTGTCAAGAGTGTCTTTGATATTCTTTTCACAATCATTTTTATATAACGCCAGATTGTCTTGAACTTTCTGACTTCTGACTTCAGAAATTTCACCGTTTGGTGGATTTCTTTTTATAATTTGATTAAAGTCAGAAGCAAAAAAAGGAAATGGTTATAGGCACCAAAATTTGTCAAGCATATTGGTATCGGTGAAATGATATATGTAACTGAAGGTGACAATGTTTATCTAGGAGCACAAATTACTCCTGTGGATGACAATTCCTTAACGGTTTATCTTTTTTTGTATCTTTGTTTATATTTTACTTTTTGATTGGGAACTAAGTAAGCATAATATAGTGAGTTTCAAGACTTCATGGTTCTAGTTTATCAGGCAGTGAATAAAAATTGCTCTGATCCATGGAATCATATCAACAACTTCATGGGAAGTTTTTCCAGTTTTTCTGGAGGTTTTAACATTTTTCTTTCTTCAGTATGAATGGCTTTTAAATGGCAGGCCATTGATGAAAGCTCACCGTTTTGTGCTTAGCCATGATTTCGGGTTTATTGCACTCAATATTTTGTATATGTATCCCGAAGATAGTGGTACATATACCCTAATTGTGAAAAATGCAGCTGGCGAAGCACGATCTGTTGCTGATATCGATTGTAAGGCTAAAGGAAGCATGGTTTGTATTTTGCTATCTTAAAAT